CCCCAAAACCCCAAAACCCCAAAACCCCGTTAAAAGTAGCAATGTCTCTGATAAATATAAGGAGGAAATATGATTTAATAAATTATCTGAAAATTAAATACTTATCAATAAATTAGGTACAGGTTCGGTGTAAAATATGCATTATTAATACATTAATTTGAGAAATTATAAATTTTAGGAAATACATGGACCGTCGTAGAAGAAGCTTTAGAAAATAGACCCTTTGCAAGAGATTCCTTCGACCTCTTGATATCTATGGGAGACCAGTTTAACTCACTTATCAAGGATAGTATGAATTTAAAACAACATTTGGAGGTGGAGTTTCTCTGATAATGATCACCTTGTTTCTTTTGGTTTCGGTATAATAGGTTTATGACTTAATATTGAGAAAGCAGAGTTCTTATCAGCAAAGTTAAATGTACTTTAATTAGGAGGATTTTTAATCTGATCACGATATTTCATCTAAGAATTTTTCTATGGCTTTTATGTTGACTGATAATAATGAGGAGAAGGTGTATAGTGATTTATTTTATGGCTAATTTTCCCTGTGATAAAGAGAAGTTTTCTTGAAATACAACGAGACCAATATTAATAATAATTCCTATTTTCAAATATCAGATATTGAAATACCATTTTCAAAATGTAAAGTAACATAGAATTTCAAATACGAAAACATTGTTGAGGCCATTAATTCAAATATTGATGAATATTACTGTCCTGATTTTTAAAATCTAACAATCTATGGTAGAAAAGGTCAATCAAAGTATAAGGAATTAATACTCTTGCTAAAATGATGTTAAGGAAATTACTGCGCATCAGATGAATAATATAAAGCTTGGTTAAATGGAAAGGTTATAAAATAATTTTTTGTGAGTTCATACTATGATTAAGATGACTATGATACACCAGTAAAATTTTACCTAAAAGAAATAACTAACTAAGTTGACTCAAGTTTAACTAAGCTGAGTACTATTAATCTTGGAAAATAGTACGTTTAACTTTATGATAGTTTAATAGGATTATTTTAAAATCGAAAAGATGATTATTTTTACTATATAGCTAATCATTACCAAGATTTTTCACTAGATATATCACTGGTATCTAAAGGAATAAATTTCCAGCAAAGTATAGTTTTAGATTAGAGATATACTATAAATAAGAGAAAAGTCCAATAAATATTTAGCTTGCTATCAGGTTTGGGAGGGTTCTACAACTCAATTTTTTTTCTTGGCTTATTACTGTTTTCGCCATTTTAGGACTCTATATATTTTTCTTCTTTAATTAGTAAGCTTTATTAATTCGAATAAATCAAGAGCCCTAAAGTTCAAAAGAGGATAAAATCAACTATTAATTTAAGCCATGACCTTGAGAGTAGTACCAGAAAAATAATGGATCAATAAACTTCACCTTATATAATTGATCAAGCAAATAACAGTAGAATGTATTCCTAGTAAATTAAATCTGAAATAGCTGAAAGTAATTGGAATATATCAATGAATTCAATGAAAAAACTAATTCTATATCTGGGGAACCGTTGGAGGCTTAAGATCCATGCTAAAGAAATCATTGCCTTTACTTTTTAAAGATTTTATTTGTGCTGTCTGAAGAAACGAGGTAAGGACCGTCCTATGTTATGGAGAAAAATCAATTTGTATAATTAGGGTGTTAATATGATTAGTGAAGAGTTTGATGCAGTCAATTTCATTGATAAAATGAGAAAACTGGATCTTTTTCTATCTCTATTCCTGAATAAAAACTAGAATTTTCTCCTCAAATTTTAAAAGAAGCATCTCATATAAAGTAATGATTTGTTGTCTAGCGATGAGGAAGACAAGAGTAGTTTCAATCAGTTTATTAGGAAATATACATAATCTAACTATTAAAAAAATTAACCAAAGTAATATGAAAGAAAGCTTGAGGACATTTTGAATGTTTATACTAAACTCGACGAGATTCCCCTTCTTGATAAAAAGATTATTAATGGATTATTAACTAAAAAGCCCTTAGATATTTTGGAGAGGACATCAAATTCATCTCAACAAAAGAAGGAGGTTAAAAGTAATAGAGCATCTGGATATGAATTCAATAAATATTAAATAGGATCTCAGCAAAACTCAAACAGAAAAAGACTATTAAAAGATAAAAAATTCTCTTTAGGATTTATTCATAGGCAAATCTTTGAAGGAAAAAGTAGGTCAGCCTAGCAAGTTGCTGAAGTAAGCAAGCCAAAATAATTCAAAAAGAGAAGTCATAATGATATTACTTTAAAGGCAAAGAAAATTACTACCGGACTAAAAGAGATTATTTTAACGAAAGAATGATATTTAATTGAATAAATGCGAAAATCAACAACTATATTAAACATATTTAAAAGTGCTCTTTTTTAATTTCTTATTAAATTTTGACCTAAGGGGTTTTGGGGTTTTGGGGTTTTGGGGTTTTGGGG